ATGTGGATGGGGGCGTAGACAGAGCTGGACTTGAACACTTGAGCCCTGGGCTATGGACGAGCACTAAGCTCTGAGCCTCACTCTGTCCCTGTGATACACCCTCATTCATGAGGCTTTCATGAGCATGATATAGATGACATCTGTAAAGCCCAGCACAGTGCCTGGCACACGTAACAGGTCTTTAAACCTTACAACTTCTAAGGAGTGATGTGGTTTCTTAATAACTATCACTGGCTGGGGCTTTTCTAGGCAGCAAGTCATTCTTGGGCCCATCATCTGTTGAGCCTCACAGTCACCATGAAGGAGACCCCGTCTCCACCCTGTAAGAAATAAGACAAACCCCAAATTCAGGGGTCCTGGTAGAACTCAAAGTAGACTTGGGAGCCAGATACCTTTACTCCTGCAGGAGAGGCCCAGCATACCGTCTGGGAGCACATGAACATGCACACCGAGCAGGCTGTCTGCTTGGCCTTTTAATCCTGGTGCCTGTGACCTGACCCTCACTCTTGATTGGAGCTCAGATGCACAGTATTTTGAGATTGGCTAATTCAAAGGGAGGGGTTGGACTTTGCAATTTCAAGATGGCAGCCCCCAGAGGAACCGCAGGTCATGTGGCCAACATGGTGGCTGCCAAGTCACGCAGTCCAAAATGGCGACTGTCTAAACTGTCCTTTGACAGAAAAGTTGACTTGTTTATTCTCACAACCCAGTTTAGAGATGAGAAAACCGATGCTTGGCAACATGGCCCAGTCCCTCAGCTGCAGTTGGGAGTCACCTGACCTGAGGACCCGTGGCCTCCCAGCATGCCGAGCTCCTGCCACTCACTCAGTTTCCATGGAGTCCATCTCAGCATGGAGTAGGGGCAGAGCCTACAGCTGAGGAAGAACCACCAGCAGCCCACTGGGCTCTGTGGTGCCTGGGGCAGTATTGGTCCTGGCAGGAACACAGGGTGAAGAGCATTAGCATTGACTTTCTATGGGCCTGGGACTATGCTGAGCACTTGAATCATTGCTTGTTTTTACAACAGCCAGAGGAGCCAGGTGCTGCTTTCCCAGTTGCAGCTGAGACCACAGAGATTATCAGAGGCCCAGCTGTCCCTTGAGCCCAGGGTTGCTCTGCACTGCCTCTCCCTGCTCCTCACCAGCAGCCGCTCCTTAAGCCAAAGTCCTCCGCTGGGCAGTACTCAGCATTCCCAAGAGAGATCTGGGACCCCAGGCAGACAGGGGCACGCTCCCCGGGAGGCAGCTCCCGTAGGCTCTGTTGTCTTGCCACTGTGGGTACTTACACAGAGTGGGCTAGAGAGGTAGCCACCTCCTCTACTAGCTAAGGATGTGGGGATGCAAATGTGGCCCTGAGGAAAGATGCCACTGGACCTGGACTGGTGCGGGTGGTGACTAGCCCCACACTTGGGGCTGCACACCCTCGGTCCCCTGGGTCCGGTGCACTGAAGAGGAGGGTGCTAGCAGAACCCGTTTTCCTGGGCTTGGAAGTCAGAGAGACCTGCCCTGGTTTGAATCACACCTTGGCACTTCTTGGCTGTCTGACTTGGACATGACATTTACCATCTCTGAGCCTTAGTTTCATCATCTGTAAAATGGGTTTAGCAATACCAACCTGGTGAAGGTAATGAGGTCATACATGTTTAATGCCTAGCACAGTCCCTGGCTTAAAGTGGCTTCATATATACTCAATTTCTGCCAACCCGGGTTACTGTGGGGCTGGTTTGGACCCTGTGCACTCATGTAAACCTGCCCAGGGGTGAGCCTGGAAGACATAGGATATGGAACCCCTCACAGGCCTCCAAGAGGATTGTCTGGTAAATTCCCATGTCCAGAGCCACTGGCCCCCACTGGGCTTTGCCAGTCACCGAGCTGCAAACATTCAGGGCAGAAGTGCAGCCATGGCTCAGGGTGCTGGGAGTGTGCAGGCCAGCCACTCGGCCTCTCCGGAATGAGCTTTTAGCCTGGCACCTATGGCTGGAGTTCAGGTGCTACTGGAAGATTTAGATTTTTCTTTTTTTAAAGTGGGAAAAGGCAAGAGCAGAAGAAAGCCTTGCCAGTGTCTGATGGACCGAGGGGCGGCGGCCCGGGCAGGCAGGGAGAGGCAGGCCGTGCTCCGTTGCATCTGAAACCTTTATAAGCTCGTATTTATTACTCCTTGCTCACCATTAAAATCAAATGTGCTCGATGCTTTTGTATTCAGTACACATTTAACCCTGCCGACTTAGATTTCTCAGGTTTTAAATCCGGTGGGGAATTGGCTGGTTTCCCAACTTTCCCCTCAAGTCCCCCTTGAAGAGAGCTCAAATCCCTGTTTAGCATTTTCTCCCCCGGTGCTGCTGGGATCCTTACACGGGTGGGGCCACCGCTGTTGTGTGTGCTTGCAGTTTCTTCCCTCATCCCCGGCCCCCTCCCTTCCTAAGCACCCCAGAAAGATAACATGATCGCTGAAATATGACGAGCCAGTCCTGTTATTTGGGCTTAATTAAACCATTTTGCCTCTGAGTGTCTGCCTGGTTGCAGTTCTAACTGTGGATCTGCGGCCGTGTGTGTGTGTGTGTGTGTGTGTGTGTGTGTGTGTGTGAGAGAGATTGGTGCATGTGTCTTAGCCTCTTATGTGTGTGCCCCTGTGAGTGTGTGTTTGGGAGACGTGTACATGTTGGCATCTCGAGGCCTCTGCATGTCTCTGGATGGTTGTCGGTGGGTGTGATTCTGTGTCTGGCTTTGTCCACACCAATCAGGTGTGTGTGACTCGGGGTGTGTCTGTAACGGTGTGATGCAGGCGACTGACTGTCCCCGGGCCTGTTGTGCCTTTTTCTCCCTCCCCTGCCTTCCCGGCCTCCCTGCTCTCCACCCCCTCCTCTCCCGCTCTGTCTGTTTTATCATCCCTAATGAAGCAGTCTCCTCCATCGATCCTGCTGATTGCCAACCCATTCCTTTTGTTTGTTGGCGCGGAGCCATTCAGCGGCACTCTGACAGCTCAGCTCGTCTAATTAGCTCTGTTGTTCTTTTTCCCCATGTTTCACCACGTTGCAAGTTCAGTTGAGGTTGCCACAAACTTAATCCCCCCATTTCAGCCACACAAGTTCACATTCCTAACCCGCCTTTATTGTAGCAGGGAGCAGCCATGTGCAAGGACAGGCTGATGGGCCTTAGTGTCTGCCCTTTCCTGAAACCCCCTCCCCCCCACGGGCCCGGGGCAGGCAGAGCTGCTCCATCGCCCCCACAGCACACGCCTTTGTGGTGAGAAGTCCGGGGGAGCATTCCAGCCAGGTGATCCTGTTTACCAGCTGCCACTGGCTCTGGTCCAGGAAACCAGTTCATGGTCAGAATGGGTGGGGGTGTCTCCACCTGTGTATCCAGCAAATGGTGCCTGGATGTCTGCGTTGAGGCTGCACTGGCCTAATAATAGTGATGGCAACAGAGACGGCATTGTGCACCTCTTAGATTCCAAGCAGCAGCATTCATTTGTTTCGTGAAATCTTGCTGAGTGACTCCTCGAATACCAGACACTGAGCAGGATGCTAGGCGAGGGTAAGGCCATCACAAATCAGACCTTCTAATTCAGAAACACCCCACCGCTTCCTTTTGTTATTGACAAGCTCGCGGAGAAGCAAGGTGAGCGTTTATGGAGCCCCACTGTGTGCCATGCTAGTGCTCTCCCGTGTCATTTCAGTGGGTCATTACGGTAGCCCCACAGAAGACAGCAAGTTTGATGGGACGCATCTGGCCTTTTTGGCCACATCTCTGAGTTGCCAGAGGAGGCTGAGCTCAGACTGGCCAGTCCTGAGGAAAAACTGGTTTGATCAGATTGCAGAGAACTGGAGGCTCGATCAGACTCCATAAAGACTTGTCTTTTATGCAGCCAGCTTCATCTGTACCTAAGCCATTGTGCTGTGTCACCCACACATCGTGTGGGGGGGTGGGGTTCAGAGAAGGGCAGGCAGGCAGGGATGGAGCGTGAGTGCTCCCCTTCCCTGAACTGTCCGAGAATCTCAGCCATCGTGTGTCTCCTACTTGGTCCCTCAGCTGCAGAGAGAGAGCAAGCCTCCTGCACGGGACTCGGTCCTAGTTGTTGGCAACGAAACTCACAGGTAGACTTCTTTGGCTTAGCTCCCTTCGGGCCCGCTCTGGCACTGGAAACGTCCAGCGGTGACAGTGCCAAATTTAAAGCATGTAACGTTGATGAGACTAAATGAGTATCCTTCAAGGGGCACTCAGACACTCGCAGCCTAACGCCCATCACAGACTCCACGGGGATGGGGAGAGGGTGTCCTTTTCTAAGTATCCTCATGTTGACTTTCACAGGCAGCAGACCAGGAAAAACATAATAATAAAGAGAAAAAAAGAAAGAAAGAAAACTATCTTGCCACCGCAGCCCACAGTAGGCCAGGAAGCTGTATGCTTCACTGTCAAGTACACCCACCCGCCGCTCGGCATGGTAGCCCCGGGGTGTGCGGCCCTGCTCAGGGGCACAGCTCGAGATGCCCTGGGCAGTACTGTCCAATGCCATGGTTTGCTTTCTTCCCTCCCATTTACAGAGAACAATGAGCATCCTGTGATTCCGTTGTAAAAAGAACAAGATAAGCACAGGTGAACCCTGAAAACAAAGTCTGAGTTACACTTTTGGGTTCTACCAAAGCAGTTTCTGGGTTCTGAAAGGAGGCAGGTGGGGCCAGCTAGCATGAGGGCCCCTGTTCTGGGTCCTGTGCAGACCGAACCTCACTGCCCCCTCACAGCAGCCCTGGGAGGAGGTGGGGGACCCACCCCGACCTGCGGGGAAGGAAACCAAGCTCTCAGAAGAGCCTTTTCCGACTGAGGGGCCACAGAATTCCAGCTCAAGTGTGGCAGTGTTTTCGTGACAAGCAGAGCCTCTGTAGCCCGTACCGTAAAGATCCCTCAACATTTATTTTGGGGCCACTTATCTGGAACTTCAGAATGTCCCCGTGTGGCTCTTCCAACTCACTCCCTCTCGGGGGTTCTCCTCTGTGTCCATTCCAGGTGCGCCCTCAGCGTCCACATGTCGTCAGGAGACCGAAGAGCAACATCGCAGTGGAAGGCCGGAGGCCGTCCGTCCCGAGCCAGGAGCAGTGAGTACCGCGGCTCCCCTCCCCTGTCTCTGCAGGAACCCCAGCGGGGCCAGCGCTGGGGGGGCCCGCGCCGCAGCCCTAGCCTTCGGAAGGCTTCCCCTGGAGGTTCCGGAGCAGGGTTTGGTCTCAGTGTCTGTTTCTGCTGGCCATTGTCACAACAGTGGGGAGGCCCCAGAGGCCAAAGAGCCAGCCACCTGGGCTGGGTGTTGACCAGTGATGCCCACAGGGACAGGGTCAGGAGAAGGTTCCAGGCCTTTTCTGATGGTCAAGAGGAGAGAGTTAGGAACCTGGTCAAGGTGACTTAACAAGGGCCTCTAGCCTCCTAGACCTGGGGCACTTGAAGGCTCTGGAGCCCAGATTCATACACAGGACTGTCCTCCCCACTGCTCCACCCCACTTTGCTCACCCTATGCCTCAGCTTTGCTTTAACACCTCCCCTTGGGGCCCAGAGGTCCTCAGGGCAGGCACTAGGGTTTAAATGCAGCATAGGACCCACGTTGGAGTCTCTTGCTGGGTAGATGGTAGGTAGATGAGGTAAATTATGTGGCAGGTGTCCAGGCAGTGGGCAGAGCTGCCTGGATGGGTGATACTTGAACTGGGCAGCCCCCAACTGGAGAAGATACCACTGCTTCCATCAGAGGGTGCGCTGCTTCCCTTGGTCCCCAAGTGCATAGCCCTGGGTCCCTGCCCAGACAGCTGAGCCGCTGCACACTGGCTTCCCGTGATTCCTTGAGAAAGTTCATGAGTCCCTCTTGATCGGGTGATTTGGGAAACCTAAAACATTTTTCCCAAGGACCCTAAAGTCCCTTGGGTGCAGAGGGAACTCTCCTCATGTCTGCTCTCCTCTCAGAAGAGTTTTCGGGGGGAGAAGTTTAGGGACATGGTGGGCCCTGGCTGAACCCAGGTTACAATGCACTTCCCCTCCTCCAGGATTCTCTCCTTACAACTGGGTGTTGGTTAAGACTGTTGCGTCTTATAGAACTGGCCTACTCAGGCAGCCTCAACCCTTCCCCAGAAGGCTGTAGGAGACAGAGCAAGAGAGTGTGTATCTCTGTCTGTCTGTCTGTCTGTCTGCCTGCCTGTCTGCCTGTCTGTCTTGTGAGATGCTTGGTTATGCACAATTTGAAAGAGAGGACTCCTGAAGTTGGGTGTAGGCTTAACTTTTGCTCTGACAATAGGACAGTGGGAATAGGTCCCTGACCATGCCTGGCGTGGATTATGATTGCCCCCTTGTGGAGAAAATGCTGCATGGCATCAGAGTTCCTCAGACCCTAAAGATTTCTCCTTAGGGGGATGAAATCAGTCACTTTTCTTTAAAGCCATCACTTTAAATCTGGGCTAAATCTTTTAGCCACTGCACTGCGGTTCAGGGCTATGGACCTGTAGATATTGAAGTGTGACCCAGAATATCCCTGCCCCGCACAGAGCCACCCTGGGTCAACATCACTGCATGTTCTGCAGGCAAGCATCACCCACTTTGTGGCCAGGTTCCCAGTTAAAGGTTGGGCTTCCTAATCGCCTCTGTTCTCATGGTGACAGGATGCCTCTATTGTGTGCCAAAGAGCCCGTGTCTGGTAATCCCATCCTCCTGGTTGTGCCCAGAACCATGTTGATACCGCTTTTTGTTTCTTTTTGCAACATGCCTCATTTTAGATTTCTGTTCAGGAAACATGAAATGAACCACTGGTGGCATGGGGGCTGGCTTAGTGGGTTGGCAAACTGGCAGCGATAAACAACAAGTGACGGGTTCTCTGTGACCACACATCACAGATAAAGAGGTACACTTTGTAACGCCGTTCCAAGAGTTTCTGTTCACATTTTTCAGTGGTGGGGTGGGGTGTTCTCCCATAATGCCAGTGGTGTTGCTGGTGCAGCCGGGTGTTTTCCTGTGTCTCTTCCCATGCTGCCCTCCTCTCCCCCGCCTCGCTCCTCCACTTCCACATGCCCTGTCACAACAGCACTTGGATGTGTTTTTCTCAACTGTCATCGGCTCCAGCTGGCAAGACCAAGTTCTTAAAACACAGGAAGCATCCAGCGGAAAATATTTTAATAAAACAGACTCCTCATAAAATATTGTTCTGGGGAGGAAAGAACCCAGCTCCCCCAATCTGTCAGCATTGTGCTGGGAGACACGAGAAGACAAGCCAGCAGGCAGAAGCCGTTCCTAATGGGCCTTTGTTGTGGATGGTTCCGTGTTGGGCACACAGATCAGTGCCTGGCCCTTTAGTCTGGCCTGGATTTTCTTGAATCACGGATGGTTGTCTCTACTGGGGACATCTAAGTGCATCGGAAGCGTAGAGGATTTTGGGCGACAGAAAGAGATGCGGGATCTTTGAAGTGGAGGAGGGGTTCCATCCTCCTGACTTCTTGCCCAGCTCTCACTTCCAAACAGCACATTAAGTAATCAATGTTGTGGACAGTGAGATGGAGCTGATTAAGACAAAGATGGTCTCCACAGCCTCCTGCAGCAAGCTGCTTGCGCCTGGAACTCATCAAGGCTGTAGCATCGGCTGCCAGCTCCCGGCCAGTCCATCCCTGAAGCCATTTCTTCCCTTCCAGACGATGTCCATCTGTCCACTTGTCTATCCGTTCGTTCAACATTATCTTTGAAAACCTATGAGCTGCTCAGAATTTTGAAGAGGCTTTTCACATGAATCCAGTGCTGAGTCTTGTTGACTTGAATTCCCAAAATGAATTTTTTTCCTCTGTTTAATTTTCCAACTGAACCGACAGGAAGTGCCCTGGCCCCTGAAAACCATTTGATGGCGACTGGGAGGACACTTCAGAAAAGCTTTCCCTCTGTTTCCCAGTTAACATTAGCTAATTGGGAGTCAGTGACTCTTTCTCTCCAAGAACTCTTAGCTACTCCCGTTTTTCAGAGCGGCTGAGGGGCTGCCCGGAACACTCCTGAGGGTAAGAGCTGGTGTTGGTAGGGATCAGGCCACAGGGCTGGGGTCAGAGGCCAGTTAGACAGACACACACTCCTCTCCAGTTCTGGGCCTCTTAGGCTGGTGTTCGCTTCTCCTTCACAGAATGGGGACTCAGGCTCAGAAAGTGTCCCAGGGTCATCCAGTTCGAAAGTGGCCCGGCCAGGGCTCCGATGCTGCTGGATTTCATTCTCTCAGTTACACTCCACTGCCCATGGGGGTCTGTTATCTCTGCCTAGGCAGCTTCAGGTCCTAAAATGATTTGTCCCCCACGTCACCTTTCCCCTCTGGCTCCCTGGAGTTGGGAGCTGGAGCTGTTCAGACATTTTTCTGCCAAAGAAGCAGTGTCCACTGGAGCCTGCGTGTTTCCATCCAGGAAGGAAAGAGAAGCAACACTGACCATCACTTACTATTGTGACGGGTAGGGGTGTCTTTCCCATTTAACAGATGGAGGAGCTGAGACTCCGAGAGACTTTCAGTAACTTGCCCAAGGCCTCCAGGCTTGAAAATGGCGGGATCAGCTTCTGAGGACACAGGCCTCACTCTTTCTTCTGCACTATCAAGGCTTCCCATTAAGAACCCAATATGCTCTGGCTGGTGTGCTCAATGGTTAGAGTGTTGGCCCTTGCACCAAAGGGTCATGGGTTTGATTCCCAGTCAGGGCATATACCTGGGTTTCAGGTTTTATCCTTGACCCAATCAGAGCACGTGCAGGAGGCAACCAATCAATGTGTCTCAATCGAATAATCTCTCTCTCCCCTCCCTCCCTTCCACTCTCTCTAAAAATCAATGGGAAAAAAATATATATCCTCAGGTAAGGGTTAACAACAACAAAAAATGAACCTAATATGACTGCCCTACTCTGAGTGGTGAGGACAGTGGCAGCCACAGGGGACACTGTAAGGGTCACAGCTCCCCACCTGTTAGAGGTTGGCCTTGGTGGTTTCAGCCGCAGTGTGTATGGCTGTCAGGCCCCAGCTTATTTTGCTTTTGGCCTGTCAGTTATAGGGGGATTGACCTTTAACTTGGAGCTCAGAAAGAGCCTAGAGCAATCTCTTAAAGGCAGTGCTATGCTCAGCACAGTCCGCCCCTCAGGACCACACAAGAGGCCAGAGGCAGGGAGTGACCTGCTGGTCCCCAGGTGCCTCTCTGCCAGGATACCCATCCTTCATTCACTGCAGGAGGGCACAGGCAGCAGCCCTCACGGAGCTGCTGAGAGAACAGGAGACAGTTGCATACAGGCTTCCTTAATCTTCACAACAATCCAGAGGGTCGGTGGTCTTCTGAGTCTTAATGGCTAAGAGGCTCGGGTCTGTGTGCATCAGATCCGAGATGCCGCCAGTCCTGGCCAGCTGCACACTGTGGCCTCACCTCTAACCGTGACACAGAACACACTCCAGTCCCACAAGTCTTGACTGGCTGTGGGCTGGTTGTTTGAAGTCTCATTGTACTAAGTAAGGATGGTCCAGAGTCTGGGCCTGGGAGACCCAGAGAACTGTGTGGCTGGTGTCAGAAATCCTTCCAGCCAAGGAAAAATGCTGGCTGGGCAGACAGGCTGTCCACCCAGCAGCCAGCCCACGCTGCACAGGAATGGAGAACTGGTCATCTGAACTGCATTGCGCGACCCCACACCCAAAGGCCCAGGAGGTTCCAGTCAGGTCAGAAGAGCTGCCAGGAGCAGCTGGTGAGCGCTCTGCCCAGGAACGCTGCTGTTGTATCTGTGCAGGCCAGTCGCACACAAACTCTGGCAGGAGGTAATGTGATTTGTGCTGCTACACACGGTCCCCTGAGGACCCGGGCCCAGCACAGCCCAGCACAGCCTGTTTGGATCATGACCGGTGACCGGTGTGGAGCTCCTTCCCTCCTGCCTGACCCAGAGCTGCCTGGGGTGTGGTCACTGAGCTCTGCTGGGCGGTGGCCTGGTGCACAAAGGACCGACCTGGTCAGACCTGGGCAAATCTCTGCCCCCTGGTGTCAAAGACCATGCCTGTTAACATCCCAAGAAACAGGACTTGGGAGCCTGCCCGCAGGAGCCACACTAACGTCCTAACTCAGCCAGTCTCCCTTCTGCCA